CGCGAATTGGCGGGCTTCCTCTTTCGGTAATGAGTGCGATTTACTCAAGAAAAAGCTCTAGACCTTTGGGCATTACTCTCGGACTCTCTCTCTCTCAGTTTTTTTTTCTCTAGCTCCCTCTCCCTCTCTCTCTCAGGATTGTTCGCTCAACCCGACCGACCTCCTTCAAGGCTGCAAGGTAAGTTTCCCTCTTCCTCTTCTCCTTCCTCCCCTTCTTCTTTCTCCCTAGTCTTCTTCCTCTTCTTCTTTTAATCTTCTCTCCCTTTCTTCGTTTCTTCTTATTCTCTACAAAAAAAAATCTGAGAATAAAACTGCTTTGAGTTGTTCCTTTGTTCTTATGTCTATGTCTCCTCGATGATATGATTACCATGTGGATTTTAAGCATACTTTGGTGAGTTGTTTAGAGAATTTTAGATGAAATTTAGGTGTGAACCACTGCTCTTATCATAACTTGTTTTATATAACATTGTAAACTTTGCACCTCTAGTGTTTGATGAATTGCTCCAAAAGAAAGTCATGGGTATTTGTTAGCATTATGGCTTTATTTGGTGAAATTACTCCCGTATGATCTTCTTCAATGTATTGTTTAGAGTCTAAAAAAATAAAAAAAATTCTGAAATGATTAGGGTCATTTGATGAGATATGCATAGAGTTATAGGCCCTTACATGAATGTCTCTTCTTCCAACTCGTTGCTTGTTAACGAATATCTTATGTTTCATAGATATGATGGTTGAAATGGTTTCGATCCTTGTTACAATTAGAGGATGCCTTCACGACTATTTCTTGTTGTCTAATTTTGCTACGTTTACTTGGCCATCAAGTGATGTCTTAATCCTCTTGTGAGATGTTAATGGTTGTTGTTATCCATGGATAGTTTCATAAGAAATAGATGAAACTTTTATGTTAACTCATGTTATTTAAAAGTAAGTTCTTTGCATATAGAATGCATTTGTTTATGATCTAAATCGCATGATAGTAGAAGTTTATATAGATGTCTTATTTTGTTATGTTGTGTCATTGTGTACTTGTATCATGTTGATATCTACGCTTCACAGTTGTTTGTTGTCAAAGCAATTTCTGACTCATAACGAATGTAAAATTATCAACTTTTCACTGTTAGCTTCATGCTCCAAACATTTGTTGTTGGGTAGAGATGCCAATTCTGGTTAGCAGGTCTGGTTCGGGAATGACATGAAATTGATGACATAACTTGAACATGCTTGACCCAAATCAAACTATTTATTATATGAATCAAAATTTTTGACTTAATCCAACCCAGCCGAACCCGAACTCGATCAGTTTAACATGTTTATTATATTGATAAGGATTTTTTTTAATTAACACGACCAGTTCAATCTGAACCCATATAGTACTCAGGTTAATTTTGAGATTTCGATTCAAACCCAAATATAACCTGAAATTGAATTGCATTAACACAAACCCAGATTTTTTGAGTTGAGCACTTATTGAATTGTCGTATTGGGTCATTTAGTGAGACCCTTATAGTTACGTATGATCCCTGTAAAGTGTATCCAAAAAAGTTATTTTACAATTAATGATATTGTAAATTGCTTATTATTTTTTATTTTGTTGCTATTTCAAAAAGATTATACACTTATTCCACTCCAGCATTCAGAGAGGAAAAATACAAATTCATGAATGTTAGGTAGATAACTGATGTAGGCAAAGGGGAGTCAAATCAAACTAAAAAAAAAATTTAGTTTTGACTTCCCTTGAGCTTACTAGCTCAATAAATTTTGAGCTGAAATTTAGCTCATTATGAGCCGGTTTTTAGTTCATTTATTGAACTAAAGGTTAGTTCATTATTAGCTAGGTTTTAGTTCATTTATGTAGCTTTTTATTTATAGTTTTATCTTTTAAAATTCTGAGTTTGTTCCTTGGGTTTCCAAAATGGCTTTTGGATTTCCTATGTTGGCTGTTTTCCGTGCTTGGCTCCTTGGCTTCCTCGGTTGGCTGATGGGTGGCCTTTCCTGTGCTTTGGTGCCTCGGTTCCGTGCGGGCCTCTTGGGTTTCCGCGGCTGCCTCTTCGGGTTCCTGGCTAGGCTGTTTCCCGTGGCTGTTTGGGGGCTTTTCCGTGGCTTTGATGCTTTGTTTCCTGGAGTTGAATATAGAATGCGTAAGGTTTTTGGGGCTGTTTGTATTCCCCTCTCATGTCTATAAATATGAGATGTTTTGGAATGTTTTAAAAAAAAGATATATGAGAATTTTTGGAAAGAAATCTGCGGATTTTCTTGGAAGAGCTTGAGAGCTTCTTCTTCTATCTCTCAGGGAGACTTGCGAGTTCTTTCCACCATTCTTCTCGGCTTCTAACCTCTTTCATCTCTCTGCAAGTACCCTTCCATCTGTATCCTTCGTCTCTTGGTAAGCAAGTTTAGGTGTTTTTATTTGTGTCATTTGTAAGAGTTGCAAGGTGTCTTGTTTGAGTCGCTTGAGTCAAAAGTTTGTAAGTGTCTTTTTATATGAAATGTAAGAGTTTGTTCTTCTTACTATTTAGCTAAGTGTGTCTGTTTTTTATTACTTAGTGTCTCTTCTTTTTTTGAGGTGATCAAGAATCTTGGGGGTCCCTTTCCCAGGAGATTTTTCTCTCGCATCATTTTTGGTATCAGAGCAAGTTAGGAAGTCCTAGGTTTTAAGTTGGTTTGTCAAGTCAAGTCTTGTTGTGTGAGTCTTGTGAGTTGTGTAAGTCTTATGAGTCTAAGTTTTTTAGGTTGAGTCTTTACTTGAGTCAAGTTTATTGTTGAGTCTTTCTTTTAAAAAAAATGGAAAAAGACAAAAAGAACGAAGAAAACAAATCATATGAAATTGAAGACCCTTTTTCAATGGAAAGATGGATTCCATCAAAAACATCAAATCCTCTGCAGTATGAGCTGTACAAACTTCAATCATAGATGCACTTGTGTACAGAGAGGTACATGAAGAAGAAGCAACGTTTACAAGATCAATTTCTGAAAGAACGAGAAGAGATCCTGAAGAAATATGAAGAAAAGATTAAAGAATTGGATGCTCCGTCTTCACCTTCTCGGAAGAAAACAAAAGCTGACTCATCGGGAGATGAGTCCTCAAGAAGGGGAGTCTGATGTAGGCAAGGGGTGGGGGGGTCAAATCAAACCAAAAAAAAAATTGGTTTTGACTTCCCTTGAGCTTATTAGCTCAATAAATTTTGAGCTGAAATTTAGCTCATTATGAGCCGGTTTTTAGTTCATTTATTGAACTAAAGGTTAGCTCATTATTAGCTAGGTTTTAGTTCATTTATGTAGCTTTTTATTTATAGTTTTATCTTCTAAAATTCTGAATTTGTCCCTTGGGTTTCCAAAATGGCTTTTGGATTTCCTATGTTGGCTGTTTTCCGTGCTTGGCTCATTGTCTTCCTTGGTTGGCTGCTGGGTGGCCTTTCCCGTGCTTTGGTGCCTCGATTCCGTGCGGGCCTCTTGGGTTTCCGCGGTCTTCGGGTTCTTGGCTGGGCTATTTCCCGTGGTTGTTTGGGGGCTTTTCCGTGGCTTTGATGTTTTGTTTCTTGGAGTTGACTGTTGGCTTTTCATCTCCATCATTTAATATAGAATGTGTAAGGTTTTTGGGGCTGTTTGTATTCCCCTCTCATGTCTATAAATATGAGATGTTTTGGAATGTTTTAAAAGAAGAGATATGAGAATTTTTGAAAAGAAATATGCGAATTTTCTTGGAAGAGCTTGAGAGCTTCTTCTTCTTCTTCTCTCTCGGGGAGACTTGCGAGTTGTTTCCACCCTTCTTCTCGGCTTCTAACCTCTTTCGTCTCTCCGCAAGTACCCTTCCATCTGTATCCTTCGTCTCTTGGAATGCAAGTTTAGGTGTTTTTATTTGTGTCGTTTGTAAGAGTTCCAAGGTGTCATGTTTGAGTCTTGAGTCAAAAGTTTGTAAGTGCCTTTTTATATGAAATGTAAGAGTTTGTTCTTCTTACTATTTAGCTAAGTGTCTCTTGTCTTTTGAGGCGATCAAGAATCTTGGGGGCCCTCTCCCCGGAGATTTTTGCTCGCATCAATAACCAAACAAAATTATAATGGTGTATACACTATGAACCAAAGATAGCATTCCCAACAAGTCGGTTGCCACATTAGAATTAGGCTTCAGTCCACAAGGGAAATTTATATTGCTTCTTCGCATTGAATTTCAACATTGAGATTATAAATCAAGACCACTAATATTGATCAAACAGCGAGAACTACCAACAAGCCAATTTCGATAAAAATTTATGTCAATTGGTTAGCCATTAAGCATACTGAAAAAGTGAACCGTGTTTATGTTATGATGTTAAAATAGTATATAAATAGTGTTTTTTTACAGAGTAAAGCCAATGGTCATTTTTTAGATTAAATTTGAAGCATTAATCACATCAAAAATAAACGATTTTGCATTGAAGTGTCTATATCTATCATTGGCCTTAATTTTTAATGAGTATGATTTGCCACAAACTAATCCTGAAATTTGATTACCTAGATGCAATTAAAGAGATGAAGATAAAAAAAAATTATATTTCTTTAGAAAGCGCAATGAAGTAAAATAAGGCTTTCAAGCAACTCCCCAGTACGACAGCCAAATTCTAGCATAGTTACACTGAGATGCACGTGCGCTTAACAACAGTAAAGAGTATATCACCAACTGTAACCAACCTAGTGCCGATATATAATATATACCAGGCAAGTAACACGCTAGATCAAAAGATTTACTATCAGCATGAACACTTAGCTCTCAAAAAGAAAATAGTCCAGTGAAAGGAACCATTTGTACCTTAATATCTAAATTCAGCATTAAAAACCTTCAATTGAGCTAATTATTTCCCACTTTTTTCCAGCGGACACATCAGTGTGGCATACAATATTTCTTTTTTCTTGTTTCTGCAATGATATTGAGTATCACCGATATTTTTATTAAATTGATATCATATATTTAAATCACTTATAGCATTAAACAAAGAAAAAATAAATCCCAGTGCAGCATTGCAAATTCACATGCATCCCATCATAATGAAAAAAGAAGGGACTCCTAAAACAAAATGCAATGAAAATTTCAAGTTTGAAGAAGATATACCAAGCAAGAGATACATTGAAGACGGAATACCGGTCAAGGATCCCATCTGATCAACATCCCAAGTTGCTGCTGGCTTCAAACCTGGAGGAAAGCATCCGCAGACAGATCATACCCAAGTGCATATAACCCAAGAAGGTGACTAACTCTATTCAAAGTTAATCTAATCATGGTTATAAATTCTAAATGTAAGAGTTTTAAACTTCAAATGATCTCAACACCCTATAAGAGCAGAAATGACACTTATTTTGATACTACAAAGCCATTTAAAAAATTTTGCATATCTATGGAAACCAAAAACTGACAATATTATACTTTTAATTGCGAGTAGATTAAAGAATAATTAAATAAGATTATCATAATCAATTAAAATTAGGAATTTAAACGTAGTTTGTAAGGGTAAAAAATAGTTGGTTTCGGGAACATGTGTAAAACCCGAAAACGACGATCGTAGGTAGTGCGAGCAAAAGATATAGGGAGCCTATATCTCCTGATCACAAAAGACACGACGGACTTCTACGGACGAAAAATGACTAAAGACGAGGAAAGAGACGAACAAACTCTTACATTTCAAATTAAAGAAGTAAAAGAAATTAAAAAACACAAACTCGACTCGAAATAAAATGACGACACCCTAAAGTTGCTGCACTTAGAAGAAAGATACAGGTGGAGTGACACTTGCGGAGAGACGAAAGAGGTTAGAAGCCCGAGAAGAAAGGTTGGAAAGAGCTCGCAGGATTTCCGGAGGGGATGAGAAAGAAGGGTGGAAAGAGCCCGCAGGATTTCCAAGCAACCCACAGGTTAACAGATTTTTTCAAAAAATCACTATGTCATTCAACTTCTTTAAAACATTACAATACCCCTTCATATATATAGGTATGAAAGGGGAAGACTAAGAGAAACAAACATTTAATTCTAACGCAAAAAACTAAGCATCAAAAGCATGGGAAATCCCTCCAAGCTTTCGGAAATCACCCAAACACAGGAACCGAAACAGCCAGCGCGGGAAAGAAGCAGGCCAAGCGGAACCGAGGAGCCACGGTCACGGGAGAAGAGCCCAGGCACGGGAAAACCAGCGGCCAGCCGGAGTTCCAAGAGGCAAACACGAAAAAACAAAAAGCCATGGAGGAAACCAAGGAGTCACCTCATGGGAAAAGCAAATTCTTGGAATTTCAAAGGCCGGTTTGGAATTCCAAGAGACAAACATTAAAACAAACATAAAAAGCATAAAATTACATTAATTAAAAGATAATAAATGAACTAAAATGTTAGCTCATAATGAGCTAACCCTTAGTTCAATAAATGAACTAAAGTCCAGCTCATAAATGAACTAAAAGTTCAGCTCAAATATGTTAAACTACTAGACTCAAGGGAAGCCAAAATTTGATTTATTTTGGACTAGTGTTGACCCCCCTTTGTCTACATCAGTAGGTCATCGCACGCATTTCGATGCATCGCGACGAAACTTAAGTGAAAATTCAAAGTTAACAGACTTCGACGAAAGTAATTTTATAAAATTCTACATAAATTTTTGATCAATTTGATATATAGAACATATAGTTAATTATGTGTATTTTGGGAGTAATAAAATTTAGAAGTCTAGAAATACCTAAACTACCATTACTTATTTCTTAAGTTGGAATTGTTTAAGTGAGGGTAAAAAGGTCTTTTAGCAAACCCTTTCTCCCTAATATAGCAAACCGACCCCTCCACCTCTCATTTCATTCGGCCAAACCGAGAGGAACAGACGGACTGAGCGGACAATAGGGGAGACGGATTGGCGATGGTCAAGGCTCCGGCGGCGATTTTCCGGCAAGAAATTTAGTGCAAATCGAAGAGGACGACAAAGGGAATACTAAGGTATGATTTATATAAAGCTAATCCTTCTAAATCTCAAGATTTTTGGAGAGGAAAAATCTATGGTTTTTCTAAAAATGTGATTTTTCTTCCAAATTTTTTTGCAAAATTAATAGGGAAGATTTAGGCAAGTGATTTACCGATGGAAACGAATTTTTCTCAAATTATTTTGAGTTTTGAAAGATTAGGGTTTTTTCAAATTTATGATTTTTAAGCAAACCTTTTTATAAATTTTGTTCCTTATGATATAAGAAGTGCTTTAATAATGAAAAATTTGATTTTTAGGAACTTAATTTCCTAATTAATTAAATTCGAAAATACATAAGATAATTATCAAAATATGTTTAGGAACAATTTTGGAGCGTTAATTTGATAAAATTGAGGATTTAGGGTTTTCAAAAATTAAGAATTTTATTAAATCCGAAAATTAAGATTAATTTATTTAAATTTCATTAAGTGTCGTAGGTAATGAATATTGAGAAGTGAAGGGTTTAGATAATTTAGAATAGTTTAGAATTTGATTTAAAAAAAATTAAGGAAGATTCTTTTTTGTGAAGATTTTTTTTTTTTGGTGACATGTCTTTTTATGCAATTATTAGGTTGTGAACTTTAAGGAGATCGAGGTGTGTCAAAGTGATACTTTGAGGAAGTATCGTGCTTGGGTTAAGGTAGGTATTCATATTTATTGTAAAAATTTCATAATTATATTTTGTACATTTATTCAATACAAATAGTTGGAATTTTCATGTTCTACGATTTACGAATTTCATTTTGGGCAAATAATATGTTCAAGTCTTTTATTTCATTATGTTAGTGAGCTTTCATATTATGTTTAGATTCAAGGTTTTCATGCTTTAAATAAATGATTTTTTATTCATAAGTATTTCTCTTTAAATCATACGATTGACTGAATATAAATCATAAATTATGATATAAGACTGTACATGCTGATGCGGAGTGCCAAAATGGTAAAGGAACTCGAAAGGGTCAAATGGTAAAGGGACTCGAAAGAGTCAAATGATAAAGGGTCTCGTTAGAGCCAATGGTAAAGGAAGACCAAATGATATAAAATGTGTACCTGATCAATACAAAAATTTATGGGCACATCCGAGACGGGTGATATAATAGACATTATGCATAATATATTTTATGTATATTTTATACACAATATAAAAGTTGATGTTTGAGGAAAAAGATAAATTAAAGGTTTATGAATGAGGAAAATTTATGAAAAATTTTCTTATATGTAATGTTATGAACTTATGCATTATTAACTGTTGTTTCAAGTTTTATTATGAAAATATGTTTTATTATGATTTTATGGAAATTTTTATGAAAAATATGAATTACCTGTTGAGCGAGTAAGCTCACCCCAGCTTATGGGAATCTTTTTAGGAGAACCATCTGGAAAATAATGACAACGAGACGACATTACACCTACTGTCATAAAGGACCTCAGGAAGAAAGGTTTTATGTTTTCTATTATGAGTTTGAGTTAGTGGTTTGTATCTGAGAAGTCTGTTGGAGTTTATATAAATGTTAACATTTATTGTTTTTAGTTATTATGGTGAGAAGAAACAAATTAGAAAAACTTTTAGTTGATGTTTTTAGTGGCTCTTTCTTATTATGTGATGAAGATGTTCATGTTATGTTATAAAAGAGTAAATGAAATTGTTTATAATTTATTTATGTTTTCCGTACGACTGACGGTTCCCGCCCCGTTATTTCGGGCTAGCCAGGCTAGGTCATGACAACATGAGACCTATGGTTTCAGCAATTGTGATGTGGCGTGTTATTAAGATTCATCTAATTGATCGAAAGAGGGGAAGTAATCAGAGGTTATCTTGCAAAGTTCCCAGTAAAGTAAATTCTAAGCTGATATAAAGACAAGTAATCGGTCAAAAGAATCACATGAGTGTTCAGGACAGGATGTTCATACAAATCTAAACTACTGACTGGTTGAAGGATGTAAAGTCCAAATTAAAAAGATTATACAAGTAGATCATAGGATGTCCATGGTTTAAAATTGCGCAATGTGAGGCTCGCCTTTGCGCAATTCCAGTAAAAAACGCCTCGAGCTTTTTTTTACGAGGCTTGCGCCTCAACTTGGTTGAAGCCCGCCTCGCCTCACTAGCATGAGGCTTACGCCTCATGCTACATATATTAAAACTTACATAAATCTTGAAATAAATGCTCGACATTGGACTCTATAGAAGGAATAATTATTAGGTCCGGACGTCGAACGTAGCTCTACATCCGGGCGCCAATAACATGTCGCCACGTGCTCTTACTCTTTACCGCACGGCCCGACGACCCGACCCGGACCGGAACCTGGTATTGCTATATTCGGGTATTGCTAGGTATTGCTCGGTATTGCTTGGTATTGCTAGGTATTGTTCGATATTGCTAGGTATTGCTTGCCAATGATGAGAAATACCGAGCAATACCTAGCAATACTGAGAAATAACTATCAAAACTGGGTTATTGCTCGGTATTGCTCGGTATTGCTAGGTATTGGTCTTGACAGAATGGTATTTTTTGTTATTGTCAAGAAATACCGAGCAATACCTAGCAACACCCCGATCTGCACAAATCAGCCAATACATAGCAATATCGGGTCCGGGTCGGGTCGTCGGGTCGCGCGGTAAAGAGTAAGAGCACGTGGCACCATTTTACTGGCGTCCGAACGTAGAGCTACGTCAGGAAACCAGACCTAATAAAAATTCCTATAGGAGAGGAGGAATGGGAAAGAGCAGTTCACCATAATGATGATTCAAATGAAGAAACCCTTAGTGACGACAGTGCTGATGACTTATGAGTTCTTATGTGATATGTCATTGCTATTTATTTTTTGAAATCGGGGTTATATGTTAATGAAAAGAATATTGGGATTTCGGAAAGATAGAATTTTGAGTTGAACTATATTTCATGTTGTCTTATTATTGAGATATTTTGATTTCACTTCATATCTTATGCTTTTTTATGTTTTATATTATTTACTCATTAGTACATAACAAATTTATCTTTTTATGTTTACACAATCTTTTGATTTTGAGGCTTACGCCTCAAAACGTCTTGAGGCTTACGCCTCGCCTCACGAATGAAAAACGCCTCAATACCCGAATACGCAATTTTAAACATTGACGAAGAGTAAGAAGAAATAAAGCAACATTACTCAAAACTAATTTGGTAGGCATCGCAGATTTTTCCTAAAACTAATGAATTCTAACTTCAAATTGCTTGAATATGTATTTAAGCATTTTAGATTTGAAATGAAATATGCAGTAAGTTGATCAACTAATTTTCCAATAATAAGAAGCTCTGGCAGACCAATTATGCAAGCGTGAACCAAATTAGCCAGCTTAAGACCTGAACAACATGATTGATCAGCTTAAACAAATAACATATCAGCTTAACCAAAAAAATGTACAATTCCTTTTATCATGTTTCATCCAAATTTGATGATAAATAAGAAAGGTTCAATATAAATACTGGTTTTTTAGTATACCATGGTTGCAGAAATCAATACCAGGAACTAGACCCTCAACCCATACTGTCTCTCCAGCTTTTGAACTGGAAGTGTCAACACTACTTTCCTTGCAAAACAAAATACTATTATCCTACAATGCAAGAAAAATACCCATTAAAAGAATAGCAAAAATGCATACGGAACCAAGAAAATATCAACTTCAGATTTTACATCATATATATGTTTGCTCAAGAAAAATGACTTTATGCATGAACTCCGCTTTTTAGGCTTAGGGTTCCATTTTCCTTAAGGTAGATTGACTTTTAATTAACCAAATTTTCCACGGTGATCATATCAAGGTTTATTTAACTTTGAGTCCTTACATACTATGAGCGCAAGCCCTCATATTTAATTATCCCTCTCATTTCTTGGGAGAGCACTCTCGATTAAGGATAAGTTATTTTAGCATAGCTCTAGAATTTTAAGTAGAATAATCTCGTTTGTGGGGGATAGGGGTAGAATCGATCAAGATCTCATGGTTTTGTCATTCCGGAAATACCATAAATTTCAGCCTATCAACGCTAACAAATCATTGGTTACAATATCAAGCATCAAGGGAATATAATTAGCAGTCATGGGTTGCCACCTCTCGGAGATCTCTAGTAGGCTGACTGATTGTGATATTAGTTTTGGTTTTATTGTGGTTTAAGTTTTGGGACTTATATCTATTAGAATGCTCATTACTTTATTTAGTTTGGGGCTTATGGCTCCTTTTAAGAGTTACCCAGTAGTTTAGTTTAGTTTGGGGTTTTGCTCCTTTTAGGAGTTGCCCATCAGATTTGAGTTAGGATGGGGCTTACTACTTCTCTTAGGAGTTGCCCGTTAGATTTATTTAGGATGGGGCATACGGCTCCGCTTAGAGTTGCCGTTAGATTTATTTAGAATGGTGTTTATAGCTCCGCTTAGGAGTTGCTCTGAGATTTTAGTTGAGAGGTAAGACTTATGGCTTCACATAGAAGATGCCTATGAATTTTAGTTGAGGTTAGAACTTGTGGCTTCACTTAGAAGTTACCTATGAATTTAGTTTAGGGTTCATTATTTCGCTTAGAATTTTCCCCTAATGAATTAATTAAGAATAGGTCTGACTGCTTCATTTAGAAGTAGCCTATTAGATTTAGATTTAGAGTCAATTATTTGATTTAGGTTTCATTACTTCACTTATAAGCTCCAATAATAAATTGGTTAAAATTAAGATTCAGTGTTTCATTTAGACTTGGTTAGAAAATATTAGAAATGATCTTTCTTTATTAGATTTAAACGAGAATTTGACTTTTAACAGAACACAATGGCGAAAAAGGATTCATGTAGCCGACCCCACGTAGTGGGACAAAGGCTTGATGTTGTTGTTGTTGTTGTAGTGTTTCATTTAGAAGTTACCTAAAGGTTTGATTTAGCGTGAATTTGAAACAGTTAGTTTTGCACTTTTCTTATGCCCAAACACCGTTGCTTTTGTTCCAATACTTTTACTTTTTACTTTAGCACTTTGAGTACTTTTGTTTTTGCTTTAGCACTATTATTATTATTTTTTAGCATGTTATGTCGCCTCTAATTTGCATTTACTTGCTTGCCAACATGTATTAGAGCCAGCATCAATTTGAAGTTTTAGTTTTGTTTTGCTTTTGTTGTGGATGTTTGTATTTAATGTTTCGTGTAGTTGGATGATTGTATTAAAGTATTTTAGTACAAACTCTTACTTTTTTTAATTAATTAGTTTATTGAATTTTCTTTTTAAATTAATTAATTAATTTAAAGGAATTTTAATTACTTGCAAAATTTTATTAATAATTAAAATTAACTTATTTTTTATTATTTTTAAATTAAATTATTAATTACCATTTAAATAAAATCAAAGTTTGAATTAATTAAGATTATTTTAAATAAAAATTTTAATTTAATAATACTCTCAAATTGCTCTTGAACTATTTTCCAGAAGAATTTTGAAAATTCGATAGCCTCCAAATGTCCCCTCCCTGCAAAGGAAAGTTAGGAAAGCTCTCATCTTTCAATCCGCTCAACCGAATTAAACATACGATGGCGCGATGTCTTCAAGAAGATTATCCCTAGCATAGGTCTATGCTTATATAAACATCCTCTGATAAATCTTTATAATCACGAATTGTGGACGAAAGTCGGGTAGACGGAACGGTGGTTGATTCGGTCGGAGAAGGAGACGGGAGCGAGATTAGGTAGGCGGATCACGAGAGGAACAATGACAAGAGTAGGAGTGCAGGACGCGGGACGCATGCTGGACTGCGGGTCTGCAGTTGGGCCAAGGGCACGGGCTGGACGCCAGGCGCAGGATCGAGATGGGAGTGTCAGATGGGGAACTGAGCTAGGACGTCGGACGCAAGATCTAGCTGGGACACCAGGAGCAGAATCGGCCTAGGAAGTCGGGTGCAAGAGTGGATTGGGAAGTCAAACACGAAATTAGGTTGGGAAGTATGGGCGCGGGAGCGGACTGGGAAGTCGGGGCATGGGATCAGACTGGGAAGCACAGGTGCAAGATAAGGTTGGGGGTTGTGAGCGGATTGTGCTTGCCTGTGTATAGGGATGTCAATATTTGACACGGCCCGAAAATCCGACCCGAACATTACCTAAAATTTTTGGGTTCGGGTCAACATAAACCTAAACTGGGTTGGGTTCAAATTAGGGATTTCGGCCCGTTCGTAAAACCGAGTTAGGTTCGAGTTGAACCAGAAACTCAAAATTAACCCGGTTTGACCCATTTTTAATTGATTTAGGAGGGTTTTAAAAGATTGTTATGAAATAAGCAAATGCTATTTCCAAAAAATAATAAACCATGTTGCCCAAACTGAATTAAGCTTGGTTTATTTTAAATTGATTGAAGTAAATCTTACCTTAATTTGATTTAGGTTTAAATAAATCGAATTAAATAAAACTATTTTAGTAAAATATAAAAGAAACGGGTCGGATTCGGGTCCGAAAACTGACATGTTTGCAAAAACGGGTTGGGTTAAAAAGTGACAGGTCAGATTCGGGTTCGACCCGAAACCTGCTTTTAACAGCCCTACCTACGTAAGAAATTGAATGTCCCCCTTCTATTTGTTTGTTGCTTTTTTGTTATGTAAAGCCAAAGAATTAGGTTATTTTGTGAAATGAGGTATCTGTCCAGGTTTTATTTATTTATTATTATTATTTTTAGTTTAATCAATTTAACAATATATAACTCCACGCATCAATCATTAATATATAAACCTAAATGTACATATAAGCATAATCACATAAATGCTTATAGAAGCATGCTAAAGCATAATGCAACAATGAAGCGAGGCAAAAAAATAAATGTCAGTAGAAATAACAACCCTGCATGTTCCACCACTTCTATCATCAGTTGTTTCACCAGCCATCTCAGCCTTGAAGGCCCCACAATGACCAGTATGGCAAGCAGGATTGTTGCTTTGATCTCCAAATGATTCAGGGAATACATAAGAACGAGGAAAGGGAATATTCAAAGCCCGAGTCCAGAATATTGAGTATGCCCTGTTACAGTGTGCGTTGGATTCAGTTAAGCTAAAGCTTAGAAATAATGTTTTACCACTACATAACATCACCAATAGAACTCGTGAAAACTGCTAACATAAAAAAGAATAATATAAACTAAAGTATATAATGATGGAGCACTTTGGTAGAGCACAAATTTAAATTTTAAAATTATATAATAGATGTTCCTCAATATGTTTTAAAACCAACCGTAGTCAATTTTCATAAAGGTAGACTTCACCAACATACTTCTTTTTAGGGCTTAATAGCAGATGGATGAACATTTTCATTAAGCCAGCATATCCTACAGTTCCCTTTATTTATATGCAAAGTTGAATGCACGTATTTATTCACGGCTACTGTTAAACTCACAATTAAACATATTTCTTAACTAGAACCTAGAGGCAACGCAAAATAAAATACAGGGACCATAATTTTATATTTCAAAAGGCTGAGCAAAGTAAAACAAATAAAGATGGATCACTTGGGTTAAAATATAGAACTGACGGATGTTCCACAATATGATTCAAAGCAAACAAGTTTAGTTTGAGAAAGGGTAAATTCCATCAACATCCGTTAAGGTCTAAACAGCAACCGGGTCACAATTTTTCTAAAGCCAGCAAATCATGTAGATCCCTCCATTTTAATGCCAGAATTCATGCAGGTCTTTGTTCATGACTATTATTTAAATTCACAATCAACATAGTTTTTTTTCTTTCTATAACAAATCTAAATTAGAATACGGAAGCCTACAGCCGATTTAACCAAAAACTTTAAAACATGACGTTAGAGCCGTCTGGTAGACTACTAATTTAATTTTTACAATTATACAACTGGCGTAAGTTCCTCAACATGCACATTAAACCAATCATAATTTGTTAGCAAAATGATAAAGTGCACCTCGAGGCTGATAGCAAGTCTCCAACATTTTTGAAGTCAATATATAGATCTCTTTTTTTATTTATTTTTTGCCAAGCTGCATGCAAGTCTTTATTCCTGACTATTGACAGAACCACTTGAATCTGACCTCTCCTATGCTGATTTTGTCCCCGATGTTGTACCCAATTTCTCTCCATAATCACAAACTATCAGAAGTCGCTTAGCTCAACAAACATTGTAACTAAACTTTGATCATGTATCAAACATGTGTCATGACCCAGAATCCAAGGAAAATCTGGTGTTCACACTCTTTTGGAGCTTTCCTTATGGCAGTTAAGCTAAAGGAAAACGGTAGATTATAAGAACAGAATATTTGCTTCTGCTTGACCCAATACTCCAATAGCTTAGCACCAGTCAACCTAAGAGCAAGAAAACTGATAGATCTAGGCAGCGAGAACACCTTAGAACACAAGAAGCCAAATCATGAACATATTCTTAAACTAACTAATGACTGATTAAACATGATTAATTAGGTTAATTGATGCATGCAAATTACAGTTTATTTTTGTTTTATTGTAATTTGAATGTTATAATTTTTGTTTAGTTATTTTTTTATGCTATCCAATGATCATGAGTAGGTAGTGCTTGGGCATGGCAATCCTTGGGCGTGCAAGCTTCTTGGGTTCTTTGGTCTTTTGGGTTGCTGTTGCCTCTCGGGTTGAGCCTTGGCTGCTCGGGTTTGGGCTGTGTTCTTTGGGTGCTTCTTGGTTCCATCTCATAAATGCTTGAGCTAAAAGTTTAGCTCATTAATTTGAAAAGGTATTCTACTTGTTAAGCTCATGAAGTGGAGTTGGAACTTTTCTCTTCCCCTTCTTTGTGCCCCCTCGATTTCTTCCTGGTACTGTTTCCCGTGGACACTGGTACGAAGATTTGGCGCATCTATCACATGAGGCGTCGTAAATCGACGGCTATTATTTAAATCTTCATTTATGATTTTTTTCTGAATTTTAGTTCTTATTTAATGTATTTCCTGTTTTACCCCTAGGGCAATTTATGTGAGTGTTGTGGCCCAAGGGGCAATTTTGTATTTTGAGTTTTCTTATGTTGTGGCCTATATGTAGGGCCTTAAGCTATTGTAATAGTGATGGATGATTAATATAAAAAAATTATGTTCCACACTTGTGTTCTTGTGAAGATGACGATAATGAGATTTCTATGGGAAGGAATCGGAGTTTCACCAGCCGCAGGATGGGTCCGGGCTCGTGACTTGAAGTCCCTTGGAGAAGGGCAAAGCATCACCCGTCAGTCTTTGGAAGAGTCCAAGGCTCGCGGTTTTTATCTTCTATCTTTGTTTTTGTATTTGTTCCTTCTTATTGCTCCTAGCAGTCATTTTCTTCCTCCTCCCCTCTCAACCCCTCGGCCAAACCTTCATACCAAGCTCCACAAATTTTCCTCATAACCGCCAGCCACCTCACCAGAAAATTCTCAATCATCCCGCCGGCCCTCCCACTAGCCGCCGACCTCCCCTTCATCCACCGCCCCTCCTCTCCGTTAATCGCCGGCTCCTTTGCCACCACCTCTCGTATTTTCAATTTTGAAATTTGAAAATTTGGTGAGTTGAAAGTTTCCAAATTTGCCCGGTGCCAAATTAGGAAAGTTTCAATGAGGTTTCAATTTCCAAATTTGAATTGAATCGGAGTTGAAATTTTTTGTCATTAATTAGTTTGAGCGGATTAGGGAACCCATTACACTCTCCCCAAACCCCTTCCTCCCTCACCATGCCGCCGGCCCCCTTGGTGGTCCCCTCTCCTTTAATGCTTCATTAAGGGATTTGATTGCATGCTATTAATTTTGGGAAGAGTTTCAAAATTTCAAATTCAACTAATTTGAAATTTTAATTCTTTCCTAATTTATCATTCTATTTTGGGAAAGTTTCTAACTTGACACTATTTTGAATTCAAATTTAAATAGAGTCAATTAAATACTTTCCTAAGTTCCAATCCAATTTAAGCAAGCTTGTACACATGGCACCCAATCCCAATCCCCCATGATCTTGCCGCCGCCCCCTCTTCAATAGCCCAGCAAATTCCATTTAATTGTTTCCTAATTCTACGTCCATCCTTTTGGAAAAAATTTCAATTCCCGTAATAGTTTTGTTCCTCACATCCAAATCCTCAAATCTCCATTTAATTTCTTTCCATTAGTATTATTCTCAACTTGGACAGTTTGATTTATTTCCAAATCACAGAATTAATATTTGGCTGAAAACCCCACATCCCCTCATTTAATTCCTTCCCAACTCATATTTTTCCCGTTGGAATTAAATCCCAATTTCCTCTCATGCTCTGCCGCCCCCTCCTCTATCCTAATTGCACTAGAAAAGCTTTTCTAGTGCAGAACCTGAGGCTTGGCATTTACCTTCAGCCTTCTCATAGCCATTAAGGCTTGACTCCTCCATCAAATTAGTTTTAAGACTTAGGAAAGTAATAAATTAAATTCAATTCAAATTGAATTAAATTAAGAATTTTCCTAAAATAGATGAACTAAATTAGGAAAAAATTTTGAATTTCAAATTTAGATAATTTGAATTTTAAATTGATTCCAAATTGCATTCATCCAAATTAAGAAACCCATAGACGAAGTGGGAAGTGGTGAGGCCGGCGGCTAGGGGTTAGGGCAAGCGGGTGAGGGAGGGATTGGTGTGGGGAAATTGGGTGGTGGGAGGAGGATTCAGTGGGAAGGGGTGGTGGCTAGGTGGAGGAGGATTAGGTAGCCGGCGGCAAGGGTTGGGAAGGTCTTGGCCGACGACTAGAAAGCGGAAGATGGGGTTGATGAAAGATGAAAATAAGAAACCACGAACCCGGCCATCTCCAAGGTTGGTGGGTGATCCAAGTTCCCTCTCCTAGGGATTCACCACTCAAACTCTCAAGCTCTCAAGAGAATTCAAACACAGAGAAGAAAATTATCATTCCTTCATTAACTTTGAAAGAAAGACAAGGAGCTATAAATAATCTCGTACATAAGACTCAAAAATTAGAAAAGACGACAATGCCCTCGGGGCTTACATACGACATCCCTTACTAAAATGGTACAATGAGAAATTAAATAAAACAAATACAACGACAACAAAAATACGAAAATGCATAACATAAATAAAATAAATCAAAAGTACAATGACTCGATCGTGGCCGTAGATTGGCGGCCAAGCCTTTGATAAATCTTTCATGATATGATGTCCCCATCACAAATATTCCTAAATATCTCATTAATAAAAAGCCCATAAGAGTTCTTAGCTTTCAAAACTATTTTCAAACCCTTCTCTATTCATTTCCCAAGACTAAAATAATTTCTTACTTCTTCTATATATATATATATATATAGAAGAAGTAAGAAATTATTTTAGTCTTGGGAAATGAATAGAGAAGGGTTTGAAAATAGTTTTGAAAGCTAAGAACTCTTATGGGCTTTTTATTAATGAGATATTTAGGAATATTTGTGATGGGGACATCATATCATGAAAGATTTATCAGAGGCTTGGCCGCCAATCTACGGCCACGATCGAGTCATTGTACTTTTGATTTATTTTATTTATGTTATGCATTTTCGTATTTTTGTTGTCGTTGTATTTGTTTTATTTAATTTCTCATTGTACCATTTTAGTAAGGGATGTCGTATGTAAGCCCCGAGGGCATTGTCGTCTTTTCTAATTTTTGAGTCTTATGTACGAGATTATTTATAGCTCCTTGTCTTTCTTTCAAAGTTAATGAAGGAATGATAATTTTCTTCTCTGTGTTTGAATTCTCTTGAGAGCTTGAGAGTTTGAGTGGTGAATCCCTAGGAGAGGGAACTTGGATCACCCACCAACCTTGGAGATGGCCGGGTTCGTGGTTTCTTATTTTCATCTTTCATCAACCCCATCTTCCGCTTTCTAGTCGTCGGCCAAGACCTTCCCAACCCTTGCCGCCGGCTACCTAATCCTCCTCCACCTAGCCACCACCCCTTCCCACTGAATCCTCCTCCCACCACCCAATTTCCCCACACCAATCCCTCCCTCACCCGCTTGCCCTAACCCCTAGCCGCCGGCCTCACCACTTCCCACTTCGTCTATGGGTTTCTTAATT